TTGATGAATTTTGAATAGGGCTCTGGGAGCGGTCGATCTGGAGATATTCAGCCCAAAAGTTGGTCCCCGGCGTTGATTAACTCAGACCAGGGCTTCTAGCCCTTGATCAGTGAGGTTTAGAGATTTCCCGGTTGTTACATTGTCTTCTATTGAATTCTTCTGTTGGTTGATCTGCAGTCCCAGGTGTTAATTGCTGTCTGCTGCTACAGTGTTACACATTCAATCACTGATTCACTCGCTCTTTCAAGGGCCAGCCTGATACAGGGAAGGACAGTTTGATTCCTGCCCTTTTATACATTGTTACAATGTATAACTTATGAAACTAAATACATTCATTTGAAAGATGAAATGTGAGGAGTATAAAATATAAGCTACCAATGCCATGGCATACAAATAGATAAAAATACCAAACTACAAGGGGAGATACAAAATGCGCGCACACAAATTTTAAAAACACAATTCCTTACCTTAAAGTGAAAGAGAGAGGAAGGAAGAAAAGGTAGAAAAAGAGAAACATATCCAAAGAGAGGAGAGCAAATGCAGGCAAGAGGAAAAGGGGGCTTTCTGCTACAAAAACACAGCAAGGGTATGGAGTTCCTTGCTTTTATTCCCAGCCCTTTCAGTGACACAGGAACAATATATACTCCAGCACTAGACCCTTGAGAGCAGATTCGTATTTGTTATACTAGTATAAATGTAGAGTAACTGACATCGTTATAAGAGATTACATGTATTTGAATTTAACCTTGTATCCAGGGGCATAATTTGGCACTTAAGTGCTCTGAGTACTGAGCAACATCAGTAGCTGTGTTGCCAGTAGTATGATGGCATCCCAGCTGCTGCAGTTTTTGTGCTTCCCCTGTCCCAGAGTCAGTGCCCAGGACTGTTACTTTGGTTGCTTCCCCTCTATTATGCTACTGTTTTAATCTTTCCCACTTCTTTGAAAATTCTTGAAAATGGCCCTGTCACGGCAGGGAACTACAGGAGGGCCGTGATCTCCTTAAGGCCCCTCCCTCCGTGCCAAGTTGGCCCAAGGGCACCCTCTGATTCTCGCCCGCCACGTCTTTGCTGTTCCAATATATTAGGGAGGCTGCCTTACATCTTCTTGGACACGGTCTGCTGTAACCTCTGGCCCTGTAGACTCCCGGACCCCTTGTGGGTCTTGTCCTGCAAACAGGTGCTTCGGGGCACCCTAGCCTTATAGGCTATGCGTGGCTCCAACCACCCCTTATATCACGCCCCAAGCCTCGCAGCTGGAATAGACGTTGGTCTGTCATTTACACTCGCCCCCTTCTCTGGGGCTTTCTCAGCACTGCTGCCCCCTTCTCTGGGGCTCGCCACGCCCGCACTAGGGCTTCTCAACTGCCCCTCTCTGGGGCTGGGGTCTGTGCACCCCGTACGCAGCGCCCTTACTGGTGCTGGGGTCCTCACACTGCTGTGGGTCCCCTATGAGGCCTCCTCCATCCCCTTATAGCCTCACCCAAACCACCGGTGTAATAAATAGCAACACAAACTCAAGCCTCTTGGCTACAACTTAAACATAAGCTGCCTGGCTATAACAACATTGCTCAAACATCGCAGAGTTGCCATCCAGTTACTCAGCTTAAGCTGTACCTGCAGTCAGGCTTCTTCTCACATCTTTGCCTTGGGAGCTCCTGCCTCTCTGGCTGCTGGCAGGGAACTACCCTGGCCTCAGCTCCTGGGCTTTATAAGAGCCAGGCCCTGCCCCTTTGTTACCAAATTTGCCCATTACTTTGGGGTGTGCTCATTTATTAGGGATAGTTTCTACGGTCTTGGTGATTCTGTCAATGTGCTGCTTGTGTTACTATACGGAGCTGTATTTCTCCCTTCTGCAAGCCCTCACCCCCAGTGGAGCTATCTTGCAGGACTCAATCTCAATGGGACTGGGTTCCTCCAGTCACCAAATCAGTCATACACACAAACACACACAAATTAACGTGACACGCCTGACCTGGCCAGGCTGATCAGCATGAACAGGCTGACACCCTCATATGCCAAGAATCAGTTCATAAGAGCAACAATAAAATGCAGTCAGACACAAGCACACAGGTAAACAGAATCCCTCTGAATCCGGCTGGGTGTCCAGCTGACACCCTCATGGGCCAGCATTCAGTTCATAAGGGCACGTCTGAGTCAAACTGGGTCAATCAGCCTATACAAGCTGATCCCCTTATGTGTTTCAAACTCAGCACGTCCCAATCTTTGGCCTCTTGATGAGCAGACCCCACAATAATTTGGGCTTCACAGGGATCTTTAGCATAGGTAAAAGAAGCGTTGCTGCAGAGCACGGGAGGAAAGAGAAGCAGAGAAGGAAAAATATACCCAATTACTACCAGTTTGACTATAAAAGTTATTTATTGCTAAGCATATGAAATATATAATAGTACTAGTAGTAATAGACATGCAAAAGAAAAACAAACACCAACAATGACAATACTACCCTGGTTTCACTAAGTATTTGGGGAAACTTAGCTCAAGCTTAACTGATACAGTTCAGGTTCAGAAGTTTATGCCTAGAAAGAAGACAGAGAACGCTGGGATCTCACCTAGTCCACGGTACTCAGGCTGCAAAGCTGACAGGCACAGTCCGTAGCACAATCCTTGAAGAGAGAGATGATCTGTTCTTCCAGCGTCCCAAGAACGACAGGGGATGGTGTCAGCACAGGGGTTTTCTTCTTCTCCTTCTTTCCTCCTGCTTCTACTTCTTTTCCTTCCTTTTCCTCTTCCTCTTCTCCCTCTAGCAGCACACACACTTACAGATTTTTATACCCTCAGTTCAGCTGCTTCGAAGCACCCTCAGTAGTGTAAATCATTGTCTTTTCTATTGACAAGGGGTTATCTGGTTTGGACCATCTCAGGAAACTGATTGATAATCAGGAAACACTTAAGATTAGGGAGTAACCCAAATACTTGGGAGCCAGCTTGAAATTCCTATGGGTGGCAGATATACTGATGGGATATCTCATGGTTTCTTCAGGAACAATAGATAGCTTGCAGCATCAGGATTTTGGATTTTTACTTGTTGTGCACAAGCCTCAGCTTAGCATGACTTTTCCAGATCTTACTATAGTCTTTTAACAGACTTAAGACAATTATTGGGGTGCTCATAACCTTTTGTGGAGAGGACTCCCACCAGTCGTCTCGGGAAAGATATGACAACACCTGGGATTAGGGCTCCAGCAGGCTGGATGCTGTGATGAACCCTTAACCATTGTTCAAATGTTGCCCATACCCCCTCTGACTCGGTCTCTTGCCTCAGCATTCCCTAACCCGGCAACCGAGTTTTAGTCAATCAAGTTTAAATAGGCCTCCCATAGTGGGACCGGGGAATGTACGGCCCGAGATGCCTATTAAACTTAGAGCTGTGTGTGTGTGTCTGGGGGGGAAAAGTCCTTAGTAAATCCAGATTAGAACTGGTCTGATAAATGCTGAGCTGGGTGTGTGTGAACATGGGTTGATTAACATTGGAAGCACAGATTCCCCATCATGCAGCGCTCTCCTGCTTCTCTGGTCCCAGAATTCACTGCAGTCTCTGCTTCAGGCTTTCTGTTTTCCATCTCTCATGTAAATGAGACCTAGGGCAGTTGATTCACTCGTCACCCTGGCAGGTGTGGGTCGTTTGCTGACTCCAGTTGCCCTGGTAACCACCAGCTGGGCTCCTTATCCACTGCTAGGGCTCTTTCTCTAGCAGTTTCTCCTCTTTAGGAGCAGGGTACCTCCGTGCTCTGCGACAGGCCCACATTTTCAAGAGCAAGGGTGTTCAACCTCTGACCTGAGGGCTAAATGCAGCCCATGGAGCCATCGAATCTAGTTTGATGGGCTCCCCATGGGTTCAGAAATTTGGCAGCGGGGGAGCAGTGGCCATTAATATAGCCACCCCCTCCCTGTCAAATTCCCAAGCTCCAAGCTCCCTGTGCCTAGTCAGAGCTAGGCTGTACCCCTTCTCCTCCCCGCCTCCCCATGAAGTTGGGCCATACCTCCTTTTCCCCCACAGGCCAGATTGGGACTGGGCTACACCACCTTTTTCCCTGAGGGGTATTGGCCATGCCTCATTCCCCCCCACAACATGAGGCTGGGCTATGCCCCCTTTTCCTGACAGGGCTGGGTTAGGCTGGGCCACTCTTCCTCCTTCCTGCAGAACTGAGCAATGCCCCCTTCAACTCCCTTGCTGGGTCACATCCCTCTGACCTCCTTCCCCTGTGGGACCAGATGAAGACCCCATCCCTCCTGCAGGGCTGGGCTCAGGCTCCACTGCCCCTCGCCCCTTCTATGTGCCCACTAGATGGTGCCCATCACAGTGGCCCTGGGCACTGGATCAGAACCACACTCTGGCAACAGTTGGACAAGGCACTGGCCATCCAGCCCGCCAGGAAAAAAGGTTGAGCATCACTGTTCTAAAGCATCATTTTTAGTTCATTTAAAACAATGTGCTTTCTTTTTGTGTAGTTAGAGCTAAAAATTCCCAGCATCTTCCTGCCCCCACATTTTGGATTTCACTTCTAATTCTCATGCAATTGTAATTTCTTTATTTAAACTATAATAATATTTGTCTAATATTTTCTTAGCCATTATTATTATGTTAAAGGCATGCGTTAGATTCTGATTTTTTTTTTTTTTTTGTAGTTTGGTGTAGGTTATAATGGATACCCTATTGGTGCAAAATACGGAAACCTGCCTCGTCGGGGGAGAATCAACAAAAATAAGCAAGGAACTGCAAAAAAGCCATTCCTTGTCCATGCTGAAGTAAATGCTCTCCTATTCAGGTTACTATATATATTACTATATATATTATACTTATATAGCAGTTTTACATAAGTTTTTAATGGAAATGTTGGCCACTGCACTGGTAGTACTCATGTGACTAACTGTGAAACCATAATATACATTTCTGTAATCAAACACCTTTGACAGCTTACCTGGTCTCTATGTAATATTTCTTATCCACAGAACGTTATTAATATATACTACTGAACACAGGAATACACTGTCAGTATGTTAAAGTATCTGACATTGCCTTAGCAATAGGCAGATGGCTGTGCCATGAGCAGATTATTGCTACATACAGATGTTCAGTTTCTCCTTATAGTGTTGCTTCTCTCTTAAGAGAAACCATGGGTGCCAATACATGTGCAGTGAGGCTGCTCCGACATGCTGTAATTACTTGATTAATCGAGTTTGCTGGAGTGTGGTAATTACCATGCTCCAGCAGACTCCAGTGTCAGGTGTACCAGTGTCCCCATGCTGGAAAATGGCAGTGGGGGTGCTTTAACTAAAGCTCATTCAATGAGATCTAGCTAAAGTGCCCTTGCCACCATTTTTCAGTGTGGGGACAGTGATACATGTGACGCTCCAGGCGCTTTAATTAAAGCGGTTCTCGGAGACCCCCCCCCCTCCACCACTTCCAGAGAACCTCTATAAATGCCACATGAGTATATAGAGACTCATGCTTTTTTTCCCAGAGCAAAAGTGGCTACTGTGGGAGAAAAAGAACTTGGTAGCAAACCAACTGAAATGGCAGGCACTGGTCCAAGAGAAGCCACAGAGCAGTCATCCAGAATCCCAGCGAGCTTTGCTTCCTGTCTCCTCCAGCCCATATGTCCAGGAAGACAGCGTGTCAATCCCAGCCAAGCAGGAAGCAGAACATGCCCTCTGAATGCTTCAGGTTGGAAAAGCCCAGCTCTGAAGCACTTCAGAGGTGTGTTCTGCTCCCAGCATTTCTGCTCCTTTTTTTCCCCCAACCATAGCCAACCCAATCCCGTTGTGGAACTGAACAGCCTGGACTCCACTCAGGCCAGAGAAGAACTGACTGACCACCACCCTGCTTCTGGATGCAGCTGATGCTGCCGCCTTGCCCAGAGTGCAGTACTTGGTGCTCGGAAGCACAGTTCCCTGCCTGTCTGCAGTTGAGCTGGCATGGGGCAGGAAATTCAGGGCTGGAGGACTCCATGCACAGGGTAGGCACAGACCCCCCATTCCCTTTTTACTAATTCATCAGACCCTGCACCCCCTGCCCAGACTGCAACAGACTGACAAGCCAGTGTCAGCACCACAGGCTCCCCGCTGCTCTGCTTGACTGTCTGTACAGGGCATTCCAGGTACATTTTTCTATTGGGAGAACAAACTTGGAAGAATTCTCCCAGATCATTTGATCATTTGAATACAGTCTAAGGTTGGCTGAGGAGGCTCAAATATGCTAGAATTATGGAGCTTTCCTGTTTTATAAAACAGACACTTCCAGTTGGCTCCGCTGAATCCAGCAAACTTCTCTAACCCCATAGCATTCTCTGGCCAAACTGAAAATATTCAGTTGTTTAATTTCCACATTCCTTTAAAATATGCAAAAAAATAACAAATAATTGCTTCTCTGTAGTAGGAGCCTGATTTATTTTAACTTGGTTTACATCTGATACAAGAATGAATTGTATTTACCAAACAAAAGAGTTGCCTATTCAAAATACTTTTTGAACATTAAATACGTTAATTTATAGCATCCTTGTGAAGAAGGAAAATATTATTATTCTCATCCCACAGTTGCAGAAACTGATATACTTGGAGGTACTATAACTTACTCAGTACAAATAAAGAGGGGAAGGACTAAATTTCAGATTTGTTGATTCCCATTCCACTAGATATCATTGCCTTTCAGTGTAATTACAGGCCCAGTGGAGTTGCTTTTTGATTTACACTGAGAGTTCTGAGACATGGTAATATTTTGGCCTCCAATAGCTCTTAATGTACTGCCTGGTGAAAGACCTGCACAGAAAAGCTTAAGCACTTCAAGAAGCTAAACCAGTTTCATAGATTTCATAGACATTAGGGCTGGAAGGGACTCTGGAAGATCATCATGTCTAGCCCCCTGCCCCAGGGGCAGGAAGTCAGCTAGTGTCAAAGGATCCCAGCAAGATAAGCATCCAAATGTTTCTTAAAAGAGTTCAGAGTAGATGCTTGCACCACCCGTGGAGGGAGTCTATTCCAGGCCTTGGGGGCTCGGACAGTAAAGAAATTTTTCCTTATGTCCAGCCTAAAATGGTCTTGGAGGAGTTTGTGACCGTTTGACCTTGTCATTCCTTGGGGCGTCCTGGTGAACAGGTGTTTCCCCAGATCCTGATGTACACCCCTTACAAAACAGACACAGTTTGTTAATCAATAGTTACAAACAGTTATAAATAATAAATGCAACAGTTTATTCCATCTTTATTCATAAGGATGAGCTACTTAAAAGCAAAATGAGATGAGAGATATAAGATGGAGAAGTACAGCCTGCTGAGAAAGAAGGTTCTTCAGTGAAAGCGTCATTTGAAGGCTGGGAAGTAAATTATGTGACTACATTTTTTTTTCAGAAGTAAAAAAAAAATAGAAGAGAATGATGTTCTTTACTGCAGCAAACCTCCATGCCTTGAATGTCAAAACTACATCGAGTGTGTCGGCATAAAGAATATTGTTTCTGTACATGAATCATCAAAGCCAACATCAAACCAAGAAGTATGTTCACCTAATACAATTAACGTAGTTATGTATTTGCACATTTATTTGGTGGCCAGTGCTTTGTATATATATATAGATGGACATAGTTTCTCCTATAAATATATGTAAGATGTATAAAATTGGTTGAGAGTCACACCCTGATCATCACTCCTATCCCACAAAATTCTGACATAATCTGTCTTCCTTCCATCCCCGTATCACATAATAAGGCGTCTTTTCTACACTGTGATCTTAGTTTTCCCTTTCCTTCAACATAAGGAAGTCTATCTTTTTGCTTTATCTCACAAGCCTGCTTTTAATCCCTTTTCTCATTATGAGGATTCCTCACTCCTGTCCTTCATAAAGAACACACTGCTTCACTCATCCTCAGAGCATTTTTAATATGACCTTAGGTACTACTCTTGGCACTAGCTAGTTAGCTACAAGTGCTTCCATCTGCTTCCCTCTGTAATAGGAATGATGTAGTCTTCAGGAGCCTGAGCATCTCATGGATGTGCTCACTGACAGGCACCACTGCTTTTAAGGGGAAGCACAAGGAAATGTGTGACTGCAGGTGTTGCTTCTTGTCTGGAGAAAGGTTGAAAAGTAAATGGTTAAGTAAATGCAGAGTGCACTGTAAACACAGTGTGTGCTGTAAAAGCAGAGTGCTTTGATTTTTCAGCTCACTTCCCTTTTCACAACTAGTTGTGTTGAGATAAAATCATATGCAGGTACAAATAATGTTACTTTGATGTTTAGAGCCTTGCTTTAACTAATAAATAGCATGCCTAACCTTCACTTATTTGGGTGTTTCCCCCTTTTTCAGAGCATCCTAGAGTCTTTAAAGAAGAAATTCACATATAATCAGGTAAGTTACCTTGCTGAAGGCCAAATCAGGAAAATATTGCAAAAAGTAGTTATGAACATTGATTTTAGTAAAACAGAATATCTATTCTGAAGCTGTTTAAGACCACTTTAAATTTGCTTTCTGTTAATATTTATACAAGTAAATTTTCTTTGGCAGGAATGTTTATGAATGCTTCCCTGACAGGCATTCTAACTATGGCGCTTTACACAAAATGCCATGTGTTAGAGTGCCATCAAACCTAACAGACGTTCACCTGTTGGTTGTGGGGAGTGCTCAAACATTCACCTGTTGGGTGGGTGGGGGGTTCAGATCCTGCCTGCACTGGCCCAAGCCAGCAGGTGTGAGTGCTCTAGCAGCCTCCCAGGAGGCTGGCAGACCACACCTTTCCCCAGCCTTGCCCCTTGCCAGCTGACAACTATCTGCAGCAGCTGGGGGGGGG